TGTTACTGCATAACAATATAATTTCTTTTCTTTAAGTGTAAAAGTATCCTGGCATAAAGGAAAATTTCACAATGAAAAGTTTAGTGAATTGAAAGTGATAACAGTATATTGCTAATAACTGAATTTGTATCTTGACCTAGAACAGTGATTCTGAGTCTTTTTTTTGCAGCAGTTACCTCAAAGTATAAAGAATTCTATCCAAAGCTGTGAAAATTAATTAAAAAATAAAGATTTATCATATGATACATTAAGAGACACCCTCAGTCAAACAAATGAGTATAGGATGTTGACCCAACTAAAAAGCTGGTGATTTGGAAGGTGGAGAGAGGAGAATTTTAACCTCTTCACATAGCACCCACCACCTTGATTAGAGGAAATAAGTCCTCAGAAGTTATTAACTCACTATTAGCCACAGAGGTACTCCCATTTCCTCAGGTGTTTAGAAATGCAACTCTTGCTGAATTTTTTGATCCTCAAGAAAATCTCCAAACGAGGTTTTTTAAATTAAAACCCCAAGTTTCTGATTAACATATACTAATGCAGACTCTTAAATTTTTTTAAAAGAGAAAATAATTATGTATAGTAGCTATATAGCAGCTAATAAATAGGCAACAGAACCATGGAACTGGGAAGTACCCAGTATATAAACCTTGCCTTAAATAAAATTGTTATATGGACATATAAAATTAGGGTATATAAATACTTAAGTACCTTTGTATATAAGCCTTTTATTAACATCAGCAGGTCAAACATTGACAGTGTAGTGAATTGATAGAGGGAGGGAGGCATGGCCCCACTTGAGCTTAGTGCAGCTTAGCTTAAATTGTAGTTATAAACACACAAGTTAAATGATAAAAATACTTCTCATATTAACAAATAAATGACAAAATATAAATGTGATCATTGCTGTGTGAATTGTATAGTAATTGCTATGAAAGTTCAGCTAACTAACAAAAGTTAGCTTCTCAGCTTGACACCTGTGGCTCAAGTGGCTAAGGCGCCAGCCACATACATCTAAGGTGGTAGGTTCGAATCCAGCCCGGGCCCACCAAACAACAATGACAACTGCAACCAAAAAAAATAGCCAGGCATTGTGGTGGGCGCCTGTAGTCCCAGCTACTTGGGA